CAAGCCTGCGATTATTCCCGTGTGCCTTGCCAGAACAACTTGTGGACTGTGCAGCTGTTTTGTCAGTACAACCACCTTTCAGTGCCTCGACTTTGTGCAGGAATCTTCCGGAGTTTCAGTTCCCGCAGGCTGAATTGCTAGGACAAGAGCGCTCGATGCCGCGATTGTCCTGTAAAAAGCTTTTGGACATTAGTTGCATCATGAGCCTGTAGAGGGGAATGCCCATTGCCAGAGCGGCCACGAAACTGCAGAGGCTGCCTACTATGAACACCAACTGCCACTTATTTGGGGCGATGCCGACCTGCAGATAGCAGCGGAGAAGATCAAGAGCTTCTTCAGGCTGGACAGCACACACAAGTCAGTGTTGGTGTAGTCTTGGCGTGCTGCTCGGCTCGCAGAAGCTTCTGCAGGCCCCTTTTAAAAGTAAAGCCGCGCCGAAGCCCATTGAAGCCCATTGAAGCCCATTGAAGCCCATTGAAGCCCGACGCATGATTTCTGCAGGTTCATCACCATCAACTTACCCATTCACGCCTCTGACCTCCTCATCGAGACGCAATGCCATGAAGTCCTTAAGCGCATCCCTGAAGAGTCTTCAGCTAGTGGCTTGCCGTGCAGACTCTCAGACGAGACATGAAATGTGGGCAAGGGCAAGCAGACACACACGGTAATACAGCGCCACTGTGTGCATCGATGGGGTCGGAGGTGCGAGTAATGTCCTGTTCCTATCTCAGGTCAAGCGGTTCATCGAGAACCGCTGCTGCAGGAGATTTAATAGACAATTTATGGGTCTGTGCTCGTGTGCTGGTTTCGAGAGAAAGTATGCATAATCGCACTGATCATCGTGATGGTAGATGACGACGAACGTTAGAGGACTTGGCGGGTGTCATCGCCTCCGTGCGGAGTCCACTGCGTCGGCTGAAGGGCCACGGCGAAGAAGTGCCCGATGCCCGCAGGCAGCGTTCAGCAGCGTTCGCTTGCGGGCAAGGTGTCCTCCACGAGGGCCTTTCAGGGCAACTCTTGAGTTCGTGCAGGGCTGGTTTGGTGGTTGCAGTCACAAATTGACGACGGCCGCGGCTTCTCAAGTCGCCAGCAGTGAGTGTTGTTGGGCCTCGTTGCTGCTACTCGTATCCAGCTTGCCAAGGACACCTTCGTGCCGGTTCTTGAGATCCTTGGTTCGCATCCGGGACAGTAATGCAGCATGAATGCTGACCACAAAGCTGTACTGGCAAAGGCGATATCGATCACATAGATCAACCATCCTGGAAGTTAATGACCCTAAGCTGCAACTTGTTGCAGCTCATTGTGGCCTCGTTCCTCCCCTTGGAGCACACTGCTCCTTGCGCTTTCCGTGTGGAGACCCGTGGCTGCAGGAAGTGGCGACGGAGCTCAGTTCGTCGGCAGACAATGCAGACAATGCGAAAACAAGAGTGTCGCTGTGAGTTAGCAGCAACACCACGAGAAACTAGTCTCCAAATGGAGAGATGGTTTCATTCCTGCTGCATAGAGCTCACCCGTTTCTGTCAAAGAGCGGGAGCTGAAATTCGCGGGCAGTGCCCGCAGGACATCGTAGGACTTGTTTACAGGCCGAAAGCCTGTCAAAGCCCGTGAAAGGCCCGAGAGTGCTTCAAAAACGGTTGGTTTGGAATTCTGCAGAAGCCACAGTCTGCTGCTTCTGGCGGGTGCCCATGCTGCCTCACGCACTAGGTAAGGACGACTCGCAGACTCAGCTTGCAGGACGGACTCGGAGTCTTCCAGCAGCTACAACTCCAGCGGATGCTCGGCAGGGCTGTTACTGCATGAGAAGCTCATCATAGTTCAATGCCCGTGCCTTCCGGATTCCAGACGATGCTGTATTTTGGGCCGGCATCTTGACTTGGAGACAAACCATTCCAGACCCCAAAGGCTGCAACTTTGGCATCTGCCCAGGAGAGGGGTCTTCCAGTGCTTCCGGTGCACCGTGGCCTGGCTGAGTGAGGTTGCAGAGGCTCCTTCTCGAGCTTGAGGCCATGAGCAGAGGCGAAGTGCAACACAGAAGAACCGCAGTTGCCTTGTCCATGGACGCCACACGCCGGCAGCCACGACAATACTGTAGCAGCCTGGGCTTGTCATTCACATGCAGATTGTTGCTGAGGGCCACACGAGACCTTGTTCGATATGCCAAGGCCGTCGTTGCAGAACATAGCAGAACTGGCCTCAGATATATGTAAGCTATGGTTTTGAAGGCGGGCGACCTGCGCCGAGTGAGTCTCTTGGCTGCAGAGATAGTCGGCGGGAAATGCACGATCAGATAAATACATATATATATATATAGAGCTTTGTGTAGATATACATACTAATATATGTATCTGTATATGACTGTATATGTGTACATATGTATATATATATACACAGCAGATCGGTCCCGGTTGTGACTTGGCTATTGAAGCGCATCTTCACTGTGCAGTCATCTCGAGATCCCACGGGCAGCCCGATTGTCGTGTGATGCCTCATGCTGGTTACTCTATGATGTTCCTGGTTAGCCAGTCGATGAGGAGAAGTGCTGACCCGTGCAAGTCCTCGTGAGGCATTTCTGCTTTGATTCGAGAGTTGTCTGGATCTAGCTCGTAAACCTTTGCCATATCTTCCGTGTGATATCCTGCACCTGGACAAATCTTGAGCGAAGTTTGTTGCATGCCGTGGGCGGCAGCACTTGAACGTCTGTGTGTTCCGTGTGGCCGTCTGGTTCAGTTGTGCAGCAGGTCGCAACAGTGGGCACGGATGCTTTGCATGCAGCATGCTCGGAGGGCCACAAGGCCTGGCTTTGAGGTTTGATTTCTGAAGCAAGTTATGGTCTTGAGGTGTTTGGTTCTTGGGGTTGGCTGACATGGTGGCATGCAGGAGAGCGTGTTAACACTGTGTTAACAGATGGCACATGCACGTCTCATGCGACGCGGAGGAGGTCGTGAAGGTCCTCTGCCAAGCCAAGACAAAGCTGAATCCAAGATGGCATTGTGAGAAATCGTATAAGAGCAGCTTGGCATTCTCTCCAAAACGGTGTCCCCAGAATCCAAGGAATGCCAAAGACAGCAATGGCCTCACCCCGCTGCACGTTGCAGCCTTTCGAGGCGACGATGCCGAGCCTTGTCAGCCTTTCGAGCTTCTCAGCCTCGGGTTTCGCACGTTGTTAGTGCGAGAGGTTGTTGAATAAGCCCCAATCTGCCTGTTGGGCCCTGCCCCCCCAACCTCCATCGACACGCCCTGGCAAACAGTCTTGCCCAACTCATGAAGCCTCTGCTGTCAAGTTGTGCACCGTGTCTCTCATGTGGTGTTTGTCCTGACTATCTGGCCGATGCAACCAAGCCCGGATGCCAAAAGGTGGTGAGGGGTCTTTGGGGGTTTGCACGCCCATAGAGAGAGACTGGCGGAAGGGTATGCGGAAGGACGTTAGTGGCAGTAGGGGCTGAACTAATGTATAATGCTTATGATTGAAACAGTGGGCAGAAACATGCTGGTGTTGAATGGTGCTTCTGGGTTTCTTGCTGTCAACATGCCCTCATCTCAACAACTTCGATGCCTGAATGTATGTGTCCTCTCATGCTGGGATGATGGCTTGTTCTGAGGTGGTGCAGGTCCTTTGCAAGGCAAAGGCAGATGTGCATGCAGTCGACGAGGAAGGCTGGACTCCGCTTTATGCGACCCAGCTGCAGTTCTGGCACGACGTGGGTTACTGAGTTATTGTGATTGCGCGTCTAGCCTTCTCTGCACTGATGGGAGACAAATTCCTTGGAGTCAATCCGAGGTCGTTGCATCCTTCAGTGGCCAGGTAGATGTGGCACGCAGCCTTCTCAACGCAAAGTCAGATGCCGCTTACAAGCACTGTTCGCGGGATAGCCGTCAATTGGTATAGTATCATCACCTGACGATCTGACTCTTTCTGTTACTGCATTGCGTAAAGAGGGCTTGGACAACGTTGGGGCTTCGTCACGTGGCCGTGTGTATGGGATGGGGGGGTACAGCCAAGGTCAACTTCAAGACGACGAATGGCACGAGCGTGATGACAGCTGCAAAGCAGAAAGGCCAGAGGTAGCAGCGAGGGTTTGTTGCAGCTAACTGTTCGATGCACAGGGCATGGCATAATGGCGGCAAGCCCAGACTCCCTTGCCAACTTCGTAGTTGACCCACAGCTTACGACAGGCTTCAATGACTTGCTCGAGCTCCTGAAATCGACAAAGGCTTCATGAACCCGTGAAGACTGCAAATCAGGCGTGCAGTCAGCTCTTTGAGTGCCGCGTTCAAGAGCTCGCGGCTTTGCTAACGCACATGCACGCCAGCATCCTGCACCAATTTGAAGCAACACTGGTCATGAGGCGATATCTACGCTTCCCATTCGTTTGACTTTCAGAGGTGTTAGATAGTTTCAGCTTACCTCATATCAGACCCCCTTGTGATCTCTGGCTTCCCACGAGGCGCTTCGTATTTAGGGCATTTGGGCTGGTCTGTAGAAAGGGTTGCAGAGCAGAATAGAACAGATTGGAATAACATGCAGAACGACTATGATATACCGCGCGATGTTTTGTGTCCAGTGGACCGAAATCAATCGAGTGTGTAGTTGGTGACAGCACAATACAAGCTCAACGCCATTCTGTGATCTATGATCTTATCTCTGATCTTCTTTTTTTATCACCTGCGCTAGCCGGTTGGCAGATGCTGAGCCACATGCGAGTAGCTGGAGCTTCTCAGATGCACAGGATACTGCAGGATGCTTGAAGCTTGGGCCACCTCCTGGCATGTATTTATCCTTATGCAAATTAGGTTGGCGCACGGATGTGTGGTCGTAGCGGCGCAAAGATGCCGACGGCGCTTGCACGCTGCAGCTACCTAGAGGTCGCATTGTCTCCCCGCGGCGAAATTCGAACATATCCGAACCTCCAGACCCATGTCGGCCTCACGCCTTCCCTCGTTATGGTTGCATTGAGCACGATGCCTCAGAGAAGCTATTAGTTGCAATTCGCTGTCCCGAGGTTCATGCACTGCTTCCGCTTGCAGTGGCGCGACTCGCAGGCGTGGAAGGGGGCTGCCAGCCCAGCTTTCTCTCGCACCTTATCATCATTGCCCCGCGTGATTCTCGAACCTCAAGCATCCACACCCTGGGGGCCTGTTTCATTCTCAGTCCCGCACCAGGCACGAAACCACGAATACCGCGAGCTCTTGCCCAAGGACCTGCGCAGAAAGCTCAGACGTGAAGTGGTTGATGCAGTCCGGAGACAGCACGTCACCCGGGCATAGCCCGGCAAGCATGCACAAATTGCAGCGCAGCACATGGCATCGAATGCGAGATCGCCAACATCTACCAAAGTGCATCAAGTGCTGCTGGTTTGGTGCATTCGTTTGCTGCTGAAGAGGTTCATCGCTGGCGGCTTTGGACCCATGCTGCCGGCAGTCTGCCGAGGCACGCGACTTCTTGGATTGACATGTACACGCAGGGATTACACAAATTTCGTGGTTACAAGAGACTGCTGACTTGAAGATCCAAAACGCAGGCAGTCTACGCTTGGATTGAGGGCCATGTGCCGAGGCGCCCGTGTGATGAAAAAAAGCATGTTCAAGTCCCATGGACTCAGCATGGACTTGTGCGTGGCATGTGCTTGAGTTGTGCTTGTGCATCCTGTGCTTGTTGGTGCCGGTGTGTGCCGGTGTGTTCTTCTGCATGACACGTCCAGGCCGTGGGGGCAAATACCAGACTTGGCTGGTACCTGACCGCGTGCGGAAAGAGGGCCGGGATCGCAATGCAGCGTCATCGTAGTTCGGCGTAGTCGTTGCTCATGTGCTGAAATCCCTACAGCGTGTACCAGGAATCTGCGTGCACTGTTCGTGTGTGTCTACGTTGAGATTTTTCACGAACAGATACCACCTTCCGAGCTTTTTCCAGAACCATCCCGAACGATCAATATGCAACCGCTACGTGTAATATAGTTACCTGTACCGTTACTGCGTTTCTCGTCGAAACTGACATGTTGCTGTGCCGCCCGACCTCAAGTATCCTGTACTGCGCAGAGCTGTTACCATGCTAGTCGCTTCCTTTCACGTCCTTTCGGCACATGACCGGGTGGGTGATTCGGGGCCGCGGGTGATTCGGATCGTTCTTCCTACGGTGCAAGCTATGGACGTCTAAGGATCACGCCTGTAGGCACCCCAGCTGTCGCTCCAATTCCATCTGTTGCGAATCCATTTTGGGCAACGTCAATGCCCTTTGCACATGACTGGCGACGCCAATGCGACCAGGCTCGGCGGCCGTAAATCGCTCTCACTGTATGGCGTCGGCTTCATCAAGTACGTTCCACAAAGCTGAAACTGTTACAGCCCTAGACCGGTAGGACCCTTCTCTGGAGTGAGGAGTCGTGTGATGTGTAGAACCCCCACAAGGGCCTTGTAAACCATTGCAGGCTGCCTGCGCAGCTGGAGCTTCCATCGAGGCTGCAGGAACCTGAGGCTACGCGACATCATGGCTCCGACGAGGAACGCTTTGATATGGTGCGACGATCAGACGACCTCGAACAGATCCCTTGATGCCGAGGCTTGTTAGCGGCGGCAGCATGCCGCCTGCCTCAGTCAGCTCTTGGCTGTCCAGGGGGAGCCAGACCACTTGGCTTGGGGTTGCACATTACGCTTTAGAGTCTGCTCATGTAACAAATCTATGAGATGGAATTCGGGAAATGGGGCTTGCGATGGTTTGCACATGTTTGCGCCGTTGAAAGCCTCAGGCAGAATGAGTGTCGAGATTGAGCAAAGTTCGACCAGTCTATGGACAGACGGCATATCATGCGTACGCTGAATGTTGTGAACTAACAAAGGTCAATTTGTCACGCAATGCTTGTGAAGGTCATGAAGACTCATGAAGCTTGCATGGTTTTCTGATAATTCCTGTTTCATGTGTTCTCCAGCTGTACATGCGGGAGGGGGGCTGGGTTGGACCGATTGATGCTGTTGACGGTGGCGATATTGCATGCCCGCAGTCGATTGAACCAAAGTCGGCCGAGCACATCCTCACAACCTGCGAGACAAACAGCGGAGCAATGTGGAGGATGGCGTAAACTGCTAGCACGTTGAGCATGTCGCAAGTCTTGAAATTCACAGCTTTCGTTCCAGTCCAGCAACACCAACCAGAGCCCGGCGAATGTAGTCCGAGTGTCAGCGATTGACCGCCATGGCACACTCAGACTGCAGCGCCTTCGGCAGGAGGTGCGTGGGACACAGAGGAGGGGGGGTTTGGCAGAGAAGCGCGCTGAGCCGAGCCATTGTCCTCGGCTGTGGCAGTCCGTCGGCTATGTTCCCGACGAAGAGCTCTGCTACCGAATCGACCTGCATGGACACCGGAAAGCCGTGAAGCTACTTGTAGTTCACCTTGGTGGTAGCTTTCGCAGGGCGCTAAAGATGTTTGCGGGCCTTGCAGGATAAGAGCCCTTTATCTCTCAGCATGTCCGCCTCCTTCTCCCACAGTGAAGGCAACTTGGCATGCCTGCTGTGTTCTGTGAGGCATCAGGCATCCTCCGAGTGCACTAAGAGTGTCGTACAGTGTCGTCTTATCTTGCAACCAAGGCCCTACGCCCGTCACAGACAAGCAATCACGAATGCCCAGCGAGGACTCGGAAGAAGCTCCGTTTCCTTTTCGCACCACATCCATATCTCCGGGAGCCTGACAAAAAGCCAAGACTCTTTCCCGAACTTTCGAAAAGAGCAAAGTCCCACGGGCCAGAAGCAACTGCTCGGTCAGCATAAAGCCTGCAATGTGCCAACTGCAGGAGACAGCGTCCTCCCCGCGATTCTCGGTGTCGAAGTTGCCAGAGCCAGTGGCTCGCGGCCGGCGGTCGCTTGCCCGAGAGTGGCAAGTTCAGCTGTTGAGCACACATGGCGCCGAGCAGGATCAGTCCTGAAGTTCGATGTAAGTGCCGTGCATGAGCTAGGCCGAGCAATTCACAACCTTCTTCCGACTGTGACTACAACGGCTCGACCCTGCCAGCTTTATGTTAAACTAGCTTCCTGCAAAAGTTGCCAGGCTTCGAGAGCCCGTGACCCTCCAGAGCAGGCTCTCAGGCAGAGGGGCGTGTGGATGCAGAGGGGGTGGTCGTTGGTTTTCGAGGCTCAGGTAGAAGTGAGATGTTGTGAGAGCAGAGGAGATGGGTGAGTCAGGTGCGCATGGAACCCTGAAAAGCCATCCGCTACCATCCCGCTTCCCACCAGTTTGTGCCGAAACACATGCGCACAAACAAAGGCAAACCTGCATGTTGCTGTGATGCGGCCCGCAAGTCCCCAGTGTGCAGCCAATGTCCAAGCTGTCCTTGCCAGATTTACCGGAAGCGAGCGTGGTCTCAGAGAGCACGTATGTTTCAGGCATGGCGGCAGCCCGTGATGGGACCCATGCCTGCCCCGACACTCCAAGCAGCCTTTCGGAGGAAGTGCCCCAACTGATATTGAGTTTTGTTGCTAACGCTGCGAACGTGTCAAGAATGGTGCAGCACTCCAGGCTGCAGGTGGCAACCCGGATTCCTATGGGCAGCTGGCACAAGGCACCGCAAAGTTCTCAAATGGGTTAAAGCGAGAAGTTGGGCTGCTGTAGTGCTGCTGTAGTGCTGCAGTAGTGTGAGCCGTGGTGCTCACTGGTGCTCATTGCCATTGACTCAGGGTTGATCTCCGAACCTGCGCCAGCTGGGCAGCTGCTCGTCCAAGAAAGCTGCCATGTCAGAGGAATCGGATGTGTAGGCAGAGCAGCACAGTTCCATGAAGTTGAATCGTTGAGGATACCGCGGCCTTCGCTCTCCCTCATTGAGTCCGACCTCGAGAAGCTTTACGCTGCGGCACGGGCACCCCATGCCTGGAACTATCCCTACCCTGGTCAGAAGAGGCGTGAGAGCGTGTTGCAAGGCTTTTGCATGGTGGATTCCACCTGCTAAAATACCGTCAGAGCCATTAATCATGAGTCATTTGCCCACAAGAATACATTATTTTCGGAGTACATAGCTGAAATCCTGACAGCTCTGTCGAAGGCGCTTGCGGCCGCACAATAGACATTAATGGCATTGTGCTCACGGCAATGGAATACGCATGTGATCCAGTGTGAGTGAGCCCAGGATGCGCGTGGCGTGGCTGCAGGGCTTCCCTAACATGTTTTCTGGAATGGTGACGCTTTACATGTGCATGTTCTCGCTGTCTTGCACCAGGCACATCCAGGCACTACCGCGTTGGGCTTAGGTTGAGGCAGTCACAAGCCAAGGACTTGCGCAATCTGGCCTGCCAAGATGATGACAGAGAAGCAGCGTGCATCTCTGCCATGTGCCTCGTTTGAAAGTTCCGAGTGGATGCCCAACCTTTGGCACCCTTCAACTGACACGTCTTCTTTTCACGTAGAATGACGAAGTGGCGTTTAAGGGCTCTAGAAAGCCTTGCAGATCCCCACACGTGCGTACGTGCTGCAAAAGCAGCAGAAGAAGAAGAAGAAGAAGAAGAAGAAGAAGAAGAAGAAGAAGAAGAAGAAGAAGAAAGAAGAAGAAGAAGAAGAAGAAGAAGAAGAAGAAGAAGAAGAAGAAGAAGAAGAAGAAGAAGAAGAAGAAGAAGAAGCAGAAGAAGAAGAAGAAGAAGACGGAGCGTGAGCGGAGTCGTAAGAGACGCGATGTGTTTCTTGAAGCGATTTGAAGCGCTCACAAATGCTGTTCTCTTTTCATTACGCCGAAGGGAGCACTGCCCCTACTGCCGGCACTTGCCGGAGATTCCTGCAGAGGCCCCAGCAGCGAGGCCCAGTGTTACAGGGCTTGCTGCTCGTAGATCTTGCTGGCAGTATGTTACAGCATGTTACAGTATGTTACATTATGTTATACTGTGTTGAGGAGTCGCTTGGAACATTCTGCGATTTGCGAACATCTGACATCTGTAAAGCACTGTGGGCAGGGCCGGCCTGCAACATCCTGCAGCCTACAACGAGGCACACATGAGCGCCCTCATCAACTTACTGTAGTTCCGCTACCGAGCATAGTGCTTTCCTCTATTAACACCCCCCTCCATTGCTTGCAGTTTGGAAGTCGCTAGAGCCACGGCACCAAATGTGGCGGTCAGGACTCGCGCAGCTTTTCATTCTCGGACGCTGGACAGGACCGGCAGAGCTGTTAAGCGCACGGATGAGGTCAGCATGCTTGGCCTCCAGCACGCCACGCTCCCGGGCGACTTGAGGTTTTTATGGCATCCCCCTAAACCAGCTGTCTTAGCTCGGAAGTTGAAAGCCAGATATGTGTGGACCCCATGGACTCCAAAAAGGTTGCTATGAGCTTCCGATATCTGCTGAAGTGATACGTGCTCGCAGAATCTTGAAGCCCTTAATGGTAGGACCTGTCGTTGCGCACTTCCTGGCGGTCTTTGTCTTCTTTGCAGCCGGAGCAAGGCCGACGGTGAGAACGAAACAAGCCAAGCTGTGCATTGTTGATATTCGGTGGCCCAAGGCCATTCTGCCCTGAGCAAGGATCTTTGCCCTGCATGGTGCAGACGTCAACGGCGTCGCATCGCAGGCCAGAACGAGTCTGGGAGCTGTTGCCTTTGAAGCATGACTTGCCCTGCCAGAGGGTGATGGCATTGTCAGAGCTCTTCTCTGCGTACAGCTGGATGGCAGGCAACAGAGCACGCGCAATGTGGAGCAGCTGCCACAACCCCCGCCCCTTAGTCACGACTGAGCTCAAGCTGTGCAATCTGGCGTGTTGTAGAGATCCGTCACTGCAACAGGACGAGCAGCAGTCCATTGGCATCAATCGCTGTGTTCTAGCTCTCCCCGCTACCGCTTTCGAAAGCACATGAGAACCCGATTTCCGGTGACTCTTGACCTGATCTCGCCGTGTCTCCCGTTGCGCTTCACCAGCCCTACCCCAAAGGCAAAGCGCAGACTCAATCGGATTCTGTTTTTTAGGTTCAGGCCAACTGCCCATGTCGCCCTACAAAAGATATATACTTGGTTCGAAGCTGTGCTACAGGCGAAGTGCGCGACGGAGTTCTGAAGTACAAGCTCGAGCATCGTTCGCTGGCTGCATGTTATGCCGACTATTTGTTCTACGACAGCATGCGCTTTTGCACGAGAAGAATAGCACGGATAGTGCGCGCCACTGCGGCCTGCGGGAACATAAGCCAGCCCCCCCCCCCCCCCCCCCCTCCCCCCCCCCCCCCTCTCTTGTTCAATGGCCCCCCCCCCCCCCCTCCCCCCCCCCTCTTGTTCAGGGGGGGGGGGGGCCCCCCCCCCCCCCCCCCCCCTTGGTCAATAACAGTGTTCTTAATAGGGTTTCACTTGATTTTAATTAACGTTTTAATAGGACTTCTTTTGATTCTAATCGGGTTTTTGTTACTTTTGAAAGATTTCTAATAATATGAATGAGATTTTTATCCCTTCTAATAAGATTTGTATTAGGTTTAACGGGATTCGTATTGAAATAATAGAAATCCTTGTCGAATTAAGTTCAACTCCTATTACAATTGATTGAACTGCTATTAAAATTAGTAGAAGTCCGATTAGAAATGCTACGAAAAAAGAAGGCAAATAGAAATCTTGTTACATTAATAGAAATCCTCTTGAAATTAGAAGGATTCCGAATAAAAGCAATAGGAATCCTACCAAACATGGCAGAGGAAATGTGGAATTGAGCATGGGGGGGGGGGGGCCCCCCCCCCCCCTTTCTTGGGGGGGGGGGGGGGGGGGGGGTTTGGGGGTGAGGGGGGGGGGACCTGGCTGGAGGCTTGACTTTGTTAATTGCAAACGCTTGCGCGCCGCCGCCTCGGCAGCCGGGCCGGCCCCAGGACAGGAAAGGAGGAAAGAGGGTTCCGCTTCGGGCGGGGTGGGGGGGGGGGTGGGGGGGGATGGGGGGGTGTGGGTGGCGGGTCTGTTTGCCTGAGAAGCAGCAGACCCACAACCCAAATGCAAAATTTTCTGACGCCACCCTACAGGGAGTACAGGCCCCCCCCCCCCCCCCCCCCCCACCCCCTCACCCCCCCCCCCCCCCACCCCCCCCCCCACCCCCCCCCCCCCCCCCCACCACCCCCCCCACCACCCCCCCCCACCCCCCCCACCCGCCCCCACGCGCGCAAGCGTTTACAATTACATGTAGGTGCAAAAATGCGGCTCAGGTTGGGATCTCGAGCAAGTTCTCAACGATCAATCAGAACAGCGCCGCTTGGACCATCTTGGAACGGCTCAAAAGCCTCTCCCTCTCCCTCTCCTTCTCCCTCTCCCTCTCGCCGTCTCGCCCTCGCACCCTCTCGCCCTCTCTGTCTCTGTCTGTCTGTCTGTCTGTATGTCTGCAAACTAAAATTCAACCCCTGCAAGCCTGATTCTTCACGAAGGTCGAGCAGGCAAAGTCGCCAATATGCTCCTGAACGGCCACTGGACTGACAAGCTGGCTTTGCATGAGTACATATCGAACGAAAGCGTCAACCACACTTTTTGGAAGCCGTGCTAACCTTTCAGAACCTGTTAGGCTTCGGGGAGATCGGGAGCCGCCGCAGCAGAGCCTGGAGTACCAGCAATCCAGAGCCAGCAGCTGCCAGGCCGGAATCCTCCGCAAGGGTGTGATGAAGGCTAGGGGCTGGTTGAGATCTTCTTGATGCCCGTGACGCATGTCCTGGTCTCTTAGGGAGCCACTCTGTGAAGACAAGTTTGTCGGCGTATTGAAAAAGACAAGGTTTCCTGGGTGTTCCTGTCTTGTCCGGTGTCACCACTGCGGTTACGACCGAAGTGGGCTCACTTGTGCCCGAAAAATCGGGCACGTTATGCTGCAAGCTATGATGTGCAGTTGAAATTGCGCAGGGGGGTCTCGTTCAATCAGAGCACTGAGCTTTTGGGTGGGCGTGGGGGAAAATGTCATCGGACCCTTTGTGTGGGATGACCCGGAGCAGCTCCTAGAAGAACGTGGAGAAGACGAGCCTTGACCAGAAGAAATCCGAGCAGGAGTACAAGAATTGGGAGTGCGAGACGCAGGTGAGTGGGAAGACTTCTACATGGCACATTTCGGTGGCCTTGAGGCCCATCCGTAGGAGGTGACGAACTTTGGCAGCGTGTGCGCACCTCGCGGCTTGGTGCCTGCGATGCTGAGCACAGGCTCTCACGACACCGAGTGCATGATCCGAGAAGCTGGTGCCGGAAGATCTAGTTCTCACCATCCTGTCGCAGACAGCCGAGGGAATCGGACAGGAGGTGACGATTCGGAAGAAGAGGAAGAAGCAGAGAAAGCAGATGGACCCCATCGTCCGAATCGTCAGCTAGACGATGAGACTTGGAGCAAGGCGAAGGTGTGCTGGGGGATAAGGAGGGGAAACAGCTATACTAGTAATATTACGCAAATCGCCGCATGCATGTTCGACATGAAGGACATGTCTGGGGGGCCTGGGGTCACGACAACGGCTGGAAGGATTGAGAATGTCACCACATACATCGACCGTGCCGGGGCGGACACGACCACAGGATGCATACGCTGGGGAGGGGACCGGGTACACTGAGTAAAGAGGGTGCAAGTTTTGCTGCTTAGGTGTGGTCTAGAAACTCAAGACCCTGGATCTTTGACATTGCGCAGGCACGAGCCGAGCCGCATGCTGCACCCCCCCATCGTTCCGTGGACAGGTGGGGCAGCAGACACAGCCTCCCTTAGTTGAGGGAAGTGTCGTGGCAGGGCAGAGCTTTTGATTGTTCCTCAAACGTTCTTTAAAAGGAGAAAAGCGGCAGGCGTGGCCATTCACATTTTCATCCAATGCGAGGCGGCGCGCCGAGTCGATCCCCGAGGTCACAAAGATTGTGGAAAAGGCGCCTCGTGCAGCCGCCCGGGCCGACCGCCCTTCCCAAGCATCGCTGGATCCCAAAGAGGCGCCCTGCTGCGAAGCTGTGTCGTCCAACAAGTCGTTCCCAAAAAAGCTGACATTGCAAAGTGCTTGGTGAGCGAAACAAGACGGGGTGGACACGCACGTGGGTGCCAGAGGTTTGTACAGGGTGTACAGACTACGCTATTTGCCGACAGTATTCAGGCATCACGCGATATACACGGCCGACTGCCGCCACCGCCAGAACGATGGCTGGAGGTGCCTCATTGGAATGAAGCTTTGGCAACCATTGCTACTTCGTTGCTACGTTGTTTAATCAATCGATGCTTGGCGCCCCGACTAGCTTGCTTTGACTGCGGGTGACTGTAACCTTCGACCGGAGGGCGTGAGCAGTCTACCTCGAGTCCTGAAGTACCTGAAGCATTATGCTGTGCTAGACCCATTCTTGTAGACCTCTTCCTGCACCCTAAAGTTTGAGGTCGAAGAGGTCTCCCGGCCGGGTCGACGTCTCCATTAACTTAGAGCCTTTTCCAATCAAGGCATTTGTTAAACTGGCACCTTGCACTCGCCTTACCTACCGGGCTCGATGGGGCAGCAAAGCATACGGCATACGGGAAAAGTCTGAGAGAAATCCATAAGCCATAAGGAAATCATGAATGCGGTGTACTGGTGTTCCCCCGGCCCTTCATGAGGCACAGTCATTCGCGGAGCCCGGACGCCAGCTTCGGCGCTTGGCGCGGCAGAGGAGGGCGCTTGCCGGCGAGCTCCGTGCCCGCCTGCTGCCTGCTCGCATCTTGTAAACTTGCGGGAAGTTCGGCTCGGAAGGCGCTTTGTCTGAATGTCCAATGCCAAAGGCACCACATGGAGCAGCACTGTGGCCTTCTCTCTGAGGCCCTACCTGTCTGCGAAAAGCTCACACACACACACACCTTTCGAACAGAATGAATTGTGTGGACCCTTGCTGCAGGACTACCGGCGGCTGGCCGGATTAGACACGGAGCCAGCTGCTGAGTGACTCTTCTTCTTTGCATGGAGTTTGCGACAGATGCTTTGGTCAACTTAAAGCTTAAAGGCTCCATCGTGCCGTGGCAACGCTGCAGAAAGCTTTCGCGACAGAGCACGAGGCAGCGCATGCATAAAGGCTGCTGGTGTGCACGTGCGCCGCAGCCTGACCCTTAAAAGGAATGTATGTGATATATGTGGAAAATTGTTGTCATGTATGTATGCCTTTGCTGTAGTGCACTGAAGCAGAACTTCAACCTGCCCTTCAAGGTTAGCCTTATTCGATATCGGGAAAATACTGCTTTGTGAATGGAGGTTGTGCGGTCACACTGCGCCTCCTGATATTCTGCTTTTCATGCCCTTGCGTAGCAAGACCCTCGCGGATGGCGCGGATGGCGCGGATGGCGCGGCAGAGAGAGAGAGAGAGAGATCCATATCAGAATTGCGACAACAAGAGGACCACCAAGCAGAAGGTTATCAGAAGGTGCGTTTAATTTCGCGGCTGGCAGCGTCAGTGTGCGTGCCAGCCAGCGCATCAGTGAATCGGCGGGTTGTGTGTAAGTCAGACACATTGAAAATCAGGCTCCAAAAGGTTTGGGTCACCGCTCGCTTTTGGCAGAGGTTACAGCTTGATCTTGCAAGACGATATGTCTAGACCTCCAGACATCCAGCAAGCCAGTTGAAATCTTCGGAGGCCCTGGCGCTCAGTGTAAGTTCTCGCACCTAGGCTGCAAGTTTTGAAGTTTATTGTCCAGATCTGTCAGAAGTTCAAACTTCCCCATGCTCTTGACGCCTTGTAGTAGGTAAATGCTTGTGCAGGACCAGTGTAGTCAGTCGTTGGTGTGGTGAGGTGATAGCCAGCTAGCCATCGGTTGAATCCCGCAGCACGCCGCGCTTACAGCGTAGTCAGGGCATTCCATTTTAGAGGCGTTTGCTTCATGTACCCATGGATGTGAATATCGCATCTGAATTTTACAAAGACCTTCTGAGAAGGTTCAGAGCCTACAGACGCGTGTGCTGTGCCAGAAGCATAGACATCTTGCCCTTGTCCGCCAGCGCCGTCTCTTGCTGAGTGCATCCTGGGTACCAAGTTCTGGCACAGGATTGCGGCTGGCGGTGGCCCTTGTTTTTTATGTGTCAGCATGGCAGTGTCCACGTGCGACGTCCTGCGCGTACGTGCCTGTCATGCTTAGAATGAGCTGTTCACCGCCTCATGTCTCGGAGGAACTGTGCGTGAGAAAGTTCACTGAGCACAGTCATGAGTATTCGCTGTCGTGACACCAGTGCCTCCAGCAGGTGGACTGTGAAGAATTCAGAAGCTTTTTTGTTTTTGTTTTTCTTTTCCGAATTCTGATCAGTGTTTACTTTGCTGCTACCGTGGCAAAAAAGCCCGAAGACAGCATGCCTGTTCCTACACTCATGATCATGATCTGTAGAACATGCTCTGTTGGATTGTCACAGTGTGGGTCATCGAGCGTCAGCGTTGCAGGCTTGTATCCGTGCCTCCCTGGAGCCTGAGCTTGCAAAGGCTTTGCTGCCGCTCTTGCAGCACATGTGCTTCTGCAATCCCCCGCAGGCTCTGACGCAACCTGCATTCTGTTGAGCCCAGTGCTGGAACTGGTTTGCCGGCCTAAACACTAATATCTAGCACCTTGGCAGGGTTTGCCAAGTTGTTGATTTTGTTCGAAGAGTATAAGCATAATGTCTCTTGTCGCCACGAGAAAGCAGCAGCCCATGTCGGTTGAGTGATGCAAGAAAAACGAACTGATTCCTCCCGACTAGTGTGACCATCTTTAAAGGCATTGTTAATGGTGGCAGCAGCTCTGCCCATCGAGCCCGCCATGTCGTGAGTTGTCCATTTGAGCACGGAAAGTGGTTGAGGGAGGGCCAAGGGAATGCGTCTGGGAGCGACACCAATCAGGGTTGTAGTTGTAGCGGTAGCCTGAAAAGACTCCGAGAAGGTCTGGCAGTTTTGCCACCAGTTGTGGAGACGCAAATGTCTGCCGAAGTCAGACCACAAGAGGCCGGAAGAGCAAACTTCAGCTTAAGCAGCCTCTTTGAGCACCTTGGAGCAACTTGCCCACTCTCGGTTTGACGAGTTGAATGGCTGAAGGATTGTGAGCTTCTTTTGTGTCCTGCAGTTGCTGTAGTGGGCATTAATGGGCTCTCGCCTCATCTCGCCCCCTCTTGACACGTCGATGACACTGATTCGCATGTTCCCTGTTTATGCATTTGTTGCCTGTCAGGCCCCCCGAGTGGCGCTGCCCGATTCTTGTCGCGGCCTTGCCCGCTTCGCTCTCGCGCTCCACGACTCGACATGTGGCCAAAATGGGCTGACACACTGTGTCGATCAAAAGCATGCTTGTGGTTCACACTCGTGGCTGCGAGCATGAGCACATGACGTGTCCAAGGTTCCAAACGTTGAACGTGACGTGTCGCGGCTCAACAGCTCCGCAGCAGGGCTGCAGAACAAGACATGCGTCTATAGTCTACAGGGTCCAATCTGTTTTGTTGCAGCAAATCTTGCATGGCAGAGGCCACCGAAACGGCAGCGGGTTCGCCGCGTGGCTGCGGTCATCACGGTGCCGCGACTCAGGAATTCAAGCAATCAGAGGCTGCTGGACAGTCAGGTGGCAGAAAGAAGTGAGGCTGCCAAGGAGCGGTCAATAGAGACCACCAGAAGCATAGAGAGTTTTACAGTTGGGCAGCTCACAAAACTAATTGTTGGGTAATCCTGCGTAGGTTCATCCGCCGAAGTATTTTGCCCTGGTGCCTTTGCTGCATTCTATTGGCACCAGTAGAACAGAAAGAGCGTGCACGCTCGTGTTGCTCGTTTCTTCATTGAGCACCACGCAAATGCACAAGACCGCCAACGAGGGGTGGGGGCGATGCACAGCATGCTGCTGGCGCTGCCGTGTAGGGCTGAGTAGCAACTCCGCAGATTTCAATGGATTTCATAGATCTCTTGCCCTGGGACCTTGTACCTTGGGATACTACATACGCAGTGGAATGAGAGAAGTTGACTCAGCGTGACAGGTCTGAGAATTTCCATTGAGGCTCCCCAATCACGGGTCCCGACCGATGTCATGCACTCAAATGTAGCGCTCGGGCTGTTGTCAAGTTTGCCAAGGCCATGTTCTTGAAGGACTGGCAGATCTGCCCAGCTGCTTTCGAAGTTCTTGCAGCTCCTTGGAGAGCACTGTCGCTTCGTTGTTAGGCTTGACTCGTCTGACCTTTCCCTCCGCAGAGCGTGTGTGTGTGTGTGTGTGTGTGTGTGTGTGTGTGTGTGAGCTTTCGCTTCTGGACACGCTACAGGGGTACACCCGAATGTTGCTCATAAGATGTGTGAGGATAGCTGTACTATGCAGGATGACGGGTGCCAGTGCACTTTGGTGCCTTCAGTCGATGTGTGACGCGGTTCTGTTGAGCTGAGGTTTATGCACCTTGGAAGCAAATGTGGGGAAGTTTCTGCGACTCGCAGCTGAGCTTCTTGAATCTTCCTTATGCTTCGATATGCTTGGCAGAGTCTTGATTCACTGTCTTCGAGGTGGTCTTTTCCAGCAGTGGTGCCGCTAGGCTGAATTGATCACAAGGACGTACAGCTGTTTGCATGTGCTTCGAGGTGTTGTATGTCAGAATCCACGTACAGCAAATCAAAGTCTGCCCAAGCCTCCTGGAGTGGATGAGGACTTGGCGCTCTTCCGCGAGGCCCTCAACTGTACGACCCCTGGTATCCAGGAGATTGTTTGTTGAAAGCATGCTTTTTGCTTATGGCGCAATATGGTGCAGCATGTACTGGAAGCCGACACTGCCACTCGTCCGGTATGGCGTGTAGTGCTGCCCCAGACTTCCTTCAATGCTCAACGAATCGATTTGGCTTACGTGGCCTGAACTGCCCAGCCACTCGCTGTCACTACACAAGTGTTCGCTGGATGCACAGACAACAAGAAAATTGGATACAGATCAATTTTTCCACAAGATCTGAAAGATCATTCGCCAAGCTGCCACGGTGCTGTCAAACGAATCTCCTTTGCTTTCTCATGCTGCAAAGCGACAGGTGTTTCAATGGGACAAGCAATGTGCAAAGCAATGGGTGAAAAGGGTGTTCCAGACCAAATTGCAGCAGGCTGAAACAAGACATCTGAAGTGATCGAGAATGTACGATGAAAAGGCGCCTGATGTGCAACTTACATAGGTTTACATACAAAGAAGCCAAGATGTGCAACAGGAGCACCACAAACAGGAGTGCAACACAACCCCAAACCGCTGCCAGCTGCTTCTTGCTGGGAGCTGTGCCGGGTTAGTTGTTGAGGGCGTATGCTTTGGCGTGAGAAAGGGTGCCGGCCCATGGGTACGTAATCTCATTCATATTGAGGGCGCTCTGGACACCAGGAGCTTTGGACATCAGTGGTTGCAAGTGCCCCAAAGTCCCTTGGCGGCGACGGATTTCAATGCACCAGTAACAACTGAGAGGTGTTGCTGCAGTGTCGGTGGTCGGCAAGCATACAAGTGGCAACACAGACGTTGAGGAAACAAGGTGTCGTGCCTGCCTTAGGTCGGGTTGGCCTGCAGGCAAAGGCTATGGGCAACAAGTCGTTGCTGCATGGCCCTGAGCCATTCCGAGGCTGTCGCCGACGATTTTTCTTGGGCATATCACGAAAACTCAGTGAGTGCTGTGCTGGGGATTGGTGTTGAGATTGCTCGAGCTTAGGCATACAAGAAGTTTTTTGGCCTGGCTGCTGTCATGGACCGTCAGGGAAGCGAGAGGTGCCGCGGCAGCACAATATATGTAGAAGGGAGCAGTTCGGCTGCCTGTGAAAGTTTTACTGTGCTTTCATACCGGCCTGAGCTGCGGCGCTTTGTTTGCATATTGCGAAGCTTTCCCCGCCGTGGCTTCACAACATCGTGCGCCATTGGGCCATATGTCGGCTTTATCTTTGCCTGGATATGTTTAGCATTGTGTTGGCCCGTGAGCCATAGCCCCTCCCAGGTTTGGCTTGATGCTAGACTCCGAGCTGTCCATTTTCGATTTTTATTCCTCTGCCAGGACTGGCAAGGCGCTTGATTGCAAAAAATGTCATGACAGGGTTACGCTGGGCAAGACTTGGACTTCTCGAGTTCCAGTCTTGGCATTGGTGCTGGTGTGCATGTTGAGCCAAAAGTTCGGTGTTGAACCGCAAAAAAAGACTCATTCAACTGAAGCGTATGGAGTTTCCTGAATTGACAGGGTGGCTAACAAACGTCCACCACATCATACACTCCTTAGGAACCAGCCCACTAATCTTTGAAGCTCCAAGCCTTCGGCCAAGAGAGACGAGCCTCCCTAGAGAAGGGGAAGAGTTTGGGACAGAAGAGCTTGTTGTGAGAGGCATGGTCGGGGTTGATCTTCGGGGGACTGGAAGAGTTCAAGCAGTGCTCGCACAGCTGGGTAGGACATCAAGTGAGGGAGGCGGGTCAGACAGATTTGCCAGTTGGGCATACGATGCGTCACTCTCACTCTCTCACTCTCTCACACTCTCTCACTCCCTCACTCTCTCACTCACACTCTCACTCTCTCACTCTCTCTCTCTCTCTCTCTCTCTGTGTCTGGGAGACACCATAGTAACATACAACTATGCGGTTTTGTCCGCTGCCGTGGTTAGAACAGTCCCTCAGAAGAGGCCTGCCACCCGGGGGGTGCCTGGAGCCAGCTTCTGAAGCGATTGCACGAAGCAGAGGAGGCAAAGTTGTGGGGTTGGCTTGCATCGGTTTTTTGACTTCTGTTCGAAGCTGAAGCACCTGCAGGGTAAGATCATGAGAGATCGACATGTCAGTTCCCTATGATCTCTGCTCCCAGGCCAAAACCTTCAATGCCGCTCGAGTGAGCATCGCAGCTG